GACAAGGGTGGAAATGAACCGAGGAAGGAGGACAAAAGGGATCTGATTTGTGACTACTGTAAGAAACCCAAACATACCAGAGATACCTGTTGGAAGCTTTACTCACACCTTGTACCGAGCCAGTTCAGAAATAAGAAAGGAAATGTGAATATGGCAGTGACTGGTGATTTATTAGGGCCACCTACTACAACTTTTCTAGAGTTTGTTGTAGCAGTTGCAATGAGGGCTGAATTGGAGAGATATGGGCAGTTCCTGAATCAGAAGGATACAACTAGTTCCAACTCATTATCAGGTAGATAGCAAGGTGTAGGTGGATCAAGAGGTAGTCATTCTACCTTGTTTGCACACATAGGTGATTTATTAGGGCCACCTACTACATCTTTTCTAGAGTTTGTTGTAGCAGTTGCAGTGAGGGCTGAATTGGAGAGATATGGGCAGTTCCTGAATCAGAAGGATACAACCAGTTCCAACTCATTATCAGGTAGATAGCAAGGTGTAGGTGGATCAGGAAGTAGTCATTCTACCTTGTTTGCACACACAGGTAGTTCACATGCCACTGCAAATTATGTATATGCTACAGGTAAAGGGGGACCTCCCTAGATTATAGACTCAGGAGCCTTAGAACATTTGATCAACATTTCCATCATTTTCACCTCATACCACCTCTGCTCTGGCAGAGATAGAGTTTCCACAGTTGATGGATCACATGTTCCCATTGCTAGGAAAGGGTCTGTCAGGATAATTGATACCATTACCCTACCTTCTGTTCTTCATGTTCCTAGACGAAGCACTAATCTTTTATCTGTTAGTAGCTTGACAAAGAATTTGAACTGTTTTGAGATTTTTTCCCCTGGTCATTCTGTTTTGCAGGATTTGGAATCAAAGAGGACGATTTGGAGTGGTCATGAGGTGAATGAAATCCATCTTCTTGATGCGCTTCTCAGTCATCAGAGTCGTTGTGTCAGCAGGAGTATTGAGTCAGAGTCAGTGGATCAAATTATGTTTTGGCATAACCAGTTAGGACATTTGTTTTTTGCTTCTTTGGGCCTTTTGTTTCCTAAATTGTTTGAGTCTGTCAGTTTGTCCAGTTTGGAGTGTGAGGGCTGTCAACTTGGAAATCATTGTACTATTGTAGACATTCCTTTAAAGCAAGTAATAAAAGATGTTCTTCTGTTTTTGATATTGTTCATGCTGATGTGTGGGGGCCATACCATGTTTCCTTTATGGGTGGCTATCGGTATTTTCTTCTGTTTGTGGATGATTATCTCAGTACTCTTGGATATATTTGATGAGATCCTGTGATGAGGTACCGTCTTTGGTTCAACAATTCCATTAGATAGTGCTGACACAGTTTGGGGTACGAGTGAAAGTGTTTAAATCAGACAATGCCAGGGAATACTTTGAAAAAAACCTGCCATCATACCTATTGGAGCATGGAGTTATCCATCAAAGCAGTTGTACATACACTCCACAATAGAATGGTGTAGCAGAAAGGAAGAACAAACATATTGTGGAAGTAGCAACAAGCATGATGTTGAGCTCTACAGTTCCAGTTTGTTTTTGGGGTGATGTAATTCTTACAACAGTGTTCTTGATTAATCGGGTGCCTTCTCGTGTTCTTGGATATAGCACTCCGTTCAGCCTTTTTTTTCCTAAGGGGGAGACATTCCATATTCCTCTAAGGGTGTTTGGATGTGTATGCTTTGTCCATGTTCTTGGTCCTCACCGCTCAAAGTTGAATCCTAAGGCGAAGAAGTGTGACTTCCTTGAGCATGCAGGAAATCAGAAGGGGTATTGTTGTTATAATCCAGTCTCTGGGAGTTGGTATGTTACTATGGATGTCACCTTTCTTGAATTCACACCTTTTTTCTCGGGGGTTCTTCTCAAGGGGAGTGTTTTGGAGAAGTGAGCAATCTATACCACTTCCTATTCCAGCTCCTTTGTTTACTCTAGTGTCTGACCTACCCATCTCACCCACTTTTCCACCTCCGTTGCATCCTGTCTCTTAGTGCTCTACATAATAGCACCTACGACAGCATAGGGAAGTTGATTCCACAGTAAAGGAACCCACATCACTCCCTATCGGCTTATCGGGGATTCCAGGTTCGACTGACATAGACCCAGGTATGCCTCTTGTTCCCCCTGATGGTTTAGTTCCGATTGATACTACTACCCCTGCTCCTAACGCCATTGCAGATGACCTTGATCTCTCTATTGCCCTTAGAAAAGGGAAGAGGAAGTGTATCACTCATTGCATCTCACACTATCTTTCCTAAAGTGGACTATCCCCTTCCTACTGGGCCTTTCTTTCCTCCCTCGGCTCTGTGTCTATACACAGGAGTGTTAGTGAGGCTCTCTCCAAACCTGAGTGGAAGACAACTATGTAGGAGGAAACGAAAGCATTGATTAAAAATCAGACATGGGGGTTTGTGGATTTGCCTAATGGCAAGGAGACTGTTGGACGCAGATGGGTTTATACAGTGAAGTACAACGCTGATGGAAGTATAGAAGGGTACAAGGCGAGGCTAATTGCAAAAGGGTATACTCAAATTTATGGCATAGATTACTTGGAAACTTTTGCACCAGTGGCAAAGACGAGTTCAGTTCGGATTCTTCTATCACTAACAACTACATACTCTTGGCCACTCTTCCAACTTGATGTGAAGAATGCCTTCTCAATAGGGACACACAGGAGGAGGTGTATATAGACCTTCCAGCTGGCTTCTACAATAATGTGGAAAAAGGAAAGGTATGCAGGTTGTAGAAGTCCCTATATGGTTTAAAACTATCACCCAAAGCTTGGTTTAATAGGTTTAGAAATGCATTGGTTGTATTTGGTTATACTCAAACTCAATCTGATTACTCTTTGTGAAGAGAAGGGGGTCTCTGGTGTCAATTTTTATTGTGTATGTGGATGGCATTGTAGTTACAGGAAATGATTTGAGTGAGATTGATACCTTGAGGAAGAATCTGCACAAAGAATTTGAGATTAAGGATCTTGGGGAGCTGAAGTACTTTCTGGGCATTGAAGTGGTTCAAGCATGGGATCTTCATCTCACAGAGGAAGTGTGTTCTAGATTTACTACAAGAGACAGGAAAGCTTGGGGCAAAGGCAGTTGGTACACCTATTGATCAAAACCACAAGATAAATGCTTCAAAGGGTGAACTAGTGAAGGATGTTGGAAGATATTAGAGGTTAGTGGGGCGGTTGCTATACTTATGTATGACACGAGTAGACATCTCTTATGCAGTGAGTGTAGTGAGTCAATACATGCATGCCCCACAAGTTCAGCATTGGGAGGCTATTGACAGGATGCTTTCCTATTTAAAGGGACACCCAGGTAGAGGCATATTGTTTGTTGACCATGGACAGATGAAGTTAGAGGCTTACACATAATGTTGATTGGGCAGGGTGCCTAGATGATAGGAGATCTATTTTAGGAGTTTGTACTCTTGTTGGAGGTAATTTAGTTTCATGGAAGAGTAAAAAACAGACAGTTGTGGCAAGGTCAAGTGCAGAAGCTGAATACAGAGCCATGGCACATGGTGTTTTAGAACTCCTCTAGATCCGTTCCTTGTTAGGGGAGATTGGAGTTGAGGCTGAAGAACCTATGATGCTATATTGTGACAATCAGGCAGCAATTAACATTGCCCACAACCCAGTTTAGCATGATAGGACGAAGCATATAGAAGTGGATAGACACTTTATAAGGGAAAGGGTGACACCTGGAGAAGTTTGTTTGCCATATGTTGCATCTGATTTGCAGCTTGCTGATGTTCTTACAAAAGAGTTGCAAGAAACAAGCTGGAGCATGATCTACACAAGTTGGGAATGTGTGGCATTTATTCCCAACTTGAGGGGGAGTGTTGAGTTTTGGGCTGATATAACATGTTTTTGTTTACATAGCATAGTTAGGGAGTTATTGGGCCTTAGGCCCATTAGTTTATGTTTTAAGTTAAGAGTGTTTTTAATTTCTCACAAGTAGCTGACTTACTAAGGGCTTACTTGTCTTTGTACTCTCTTTTATTTATGAGTATACAATCTAATGAAAGGGGCGGCCAGACCTTATTCTGAGCTTCTCCCATTCTCTTCTATCTCTCTTCTCTCTCTTTCTTAGCTGGAAGCTTTTCTCCTCTTTCTTTTCTTCTTTCTTTTACAGTTTTTATATCAAAACAGGTTGTCCAAACCTTTCTACTGTATCGTTCCAGTGCGTGATGGAAAATCCGACAATTCTGAAAAACAAGTGATTGTTGGAGATGGCGGGGATGCTTTCAAGAAGCAGGAAGATTTACCTGAGAGGATGTTGGTTTCAGATGGGGGTCAAAAGCCAGATGGGAGTTTGGAAGAGGCTGTGAAAACACTTAATACAAGTAGAAGATTCAGAGCTCAAAAGAACGTAAAAAGTCAGTAGCAAGTTCCAGTTTCAAAAGTCTTTGCATGGACAAAAGGAGGCTTATATGGTATTGGGCCTAATAAACTCATCAAGAAACACAAAAGATCAGAGAAAAGGCGACTAGAAGATTGTTCTCAAAAATCTGATAAGAAGAGTTTTTGAGTGGGAGTGGGAAGTGGGGATGGGTTTCTGGAGGGTGTTGATATTGGTTTGTAGGGTCTGGGTCTTGCCTTAGTGTTGCGGTGTGGTTTTTTCTTTTAGCTGGGTCGAAAGGATTATTCTTGTTTGGGGTGGTTTTCCTTTTTGGGATTGGGGTTTATTTGTGTGGTTCTTTGGATTTTGCTTCCTCTCGGATGATTGCTTATCACCTTCCTTGTAATTGCTTTTTTGATTTAATAAAGTTTATTTTATTTTATCTTCAAAAAAAACTTGTAATCCACAAAGAAATTTTTTAACTGAAAAAAGGGAGGTGGCACACTCATCTACATAAACTATTCTTTTATCTTATTAATAAAAATGACCAATTTCTGATAAAAAACTGATGTGTTTTATTTGCACCCAACATTTCTTTCTTGCTACTTATTTTGATTCTTTTTCCTGTATTAGGTTGATCCTAAAGCATCGAACAGGTCAACACGTTTGGTGCAAGAGCTAATCTCAACTATCTTGTTTACAATTGTTGTTGGTTTGATGTGGTATGACATTTACGTATCTGTATTATTGTTTTCTACTATTTTATAAAAAAACTAAAAAAAGCCATTGCCCAATGTTGGTCCCAACTATCTGGGGTCTCAGGAGGGGTAGACTGGGAATGGTCCTACCCTTTGGCATTTTTTCAAACAAAGTAGCCGCCCTCAGACTTGAACCTGTGTTCTGCCCGGATTATACCATTACAACAAATAATGCCCGTTTTTCTGCTAATTTGTCTTTGACCATATTGCATACTTTGCCCACTGTTTGAATTTTTAAAGAATTGATTATCTTATCCAAGTTTAGAAGGATTTTTTTGTTGGTAACTTGCCTTTTTCAGTCAGTTCATTTTCCCCCTGAAATGAATTTGTTACGTTGTCTTGACATGCATGCATTTTCTACAGTAGCATGTGGAGATCTGAGTTGTATTGGTGCCTTCCCTCCTAGGATAGATTTTCTTTGTTTTCTGTTATGTGTCTTTGGTAAGCTTGTGGTTTGCCTCATCTTGGATGTGGTTTCTTGCCTCGTTTTGTTCTCTCTAACCAGGCTGGACAATTATACTCTTATCTTTTTGGATTATTAATGAAGTTTTTTTTTTTTCATTGGTAACTGATATATTATATTTATTTAGAGAAAAAGTATCTATATTACAATACACAGCTCTCAATCAGAGCCAATCCCACTTGTCCCTTTATGAGTACAACTGAGCCCAAAAAATGCATATTTGAGCTCCTATCAAGAATGAGCTTATTTCTTTAGATGGAATCTTGAGTTGCTCATTATTTTAAAGTTGGAATATGTTTCCAGGGTAATGGGTGCTGCTGCACTTCAGAAATATGTTGGCAGCTTAGGTGGTATAGGCACTTCTGGCGTTGGCTCAAGTTCTTCATATGCTCCAAAGGAGTTGAACAAAGAAATTATGCCAGAGAAGGTGGTTGGTAGTTGATGTTTGGATTATTTCTTTTCAGCTTTCAATATTCCTGCATTGTATTGATTATCTTTTGGTCATTAGATCTTAAAAAGAGCCTGTCTTTTATTTTTTGATTTTTTTTTCACGTCTTTTATTTTTTTATTTAATTGCTGTTTTATTTACAATAGGTTAATATCTGGTTTTGCATTCCATTTTGAATATCATGGATCAAGAAAGAATTGAATTAAATTATTTTATACAACTTTTTCAGGGGATAACTCAAATCACCTATGAGGCTATGATCATTTAATTGTAAATACAATGACTTTTGCATGTGATGAAGGATCAATTAAAAAGCAAAGCTGAATGTAGGATCTTTGAAAAGTTTGATAACTCAAATTACCTATGATCATTCTTTTTCACATTCTTGTCAAATTGTTTGCTCGTGCACTGTTGGGGATGATTCCTTGGTTCATTGAGCAACCTAGGTCAAGTTTGAACTGCAACTATATGCCAATTTCCCATGAAAACAAAGGGTGATACATGTACTACCTCTGGTAGATGAGTGATGAACTGGAGAAAATTATTTTTTACCAATTAATGGCACCTTTCTGTATGGAATTTGGTGGTTACTGGGAGTAGGAGGATTGTAATTGCAGAAAGGACAAGTGGCAACTTCTTTGGAAGTGATATTAGCTAAGAAAAATCTGTGCCAAAATTGATTAAAAAAAGAAAAACCATGCTAATGCAATATTTAATATATTCCACCAAAAACCAAAACTTCAAACTGAATTTAATCATAATCAATTAATCATATGCGAGGGTTAGAATCCTAGAGCTTTACTGGTGTCTCATTTCCCAAAAAGGAAAAATAAAAAGTTTAGGCAATGTCAATTTGGTTTAGTTAAATATGGTCTAATGGAATCAAAGAACTGATGGTTTAAAGAGCATGGGAAGCTCTTGTAGGGGGAGGAGCAAGAATGACATCTGGGCTGTATAACATGTCCGATGGAAGATTCCTGTTATATGTTCCACAAGCCTAGTTGTCCTTGAAAGTTTCATCTTATATGCTATAAATCCTCATGATGGACCTTTTGTGCTGAAACTTAAGTCACATCCAGCAAGGATGAGGTGGTAGACCACCTGTACCAATTGAACTGCCAGCTCTCTTACCTGTAGAAAGAGCCAGTCCAGACTTATGTTGCCTATGGAGAAGGGTCGACAGCCTCATTGGCATAAACATTACTCAAGCAACTTCAGTCTAACTTGATAACAACTGAGAATAAATTGATTCACCTTCTTAACCTCCTGGTCAAATTAATGGCTCAAAATCTAAAGGTAGTTTTTTATTTTTTTTCAGGGGTATTAAGTCTTTCATTGACCATGTAGATCTATCTGTGGTAGAAAATGTACTTGTTTAATTATCAGTCCTGCATGTTGTGTGTATGAAGCAAGATAAATGCTTTCTTTTACTTCTATATTTCTTTGTTTATCCAAGTAGATGTGGATGAATAAATCGAAACCTGTCCTATTATGTTTCCTATATATATATATATACATACATACATACTACATACACACACATATACATTTTCATTTTCCCTAACTACTTGACTTGTCACAGAATGTGAAAACCTTTAAGGATGTAAAAGGTTGTGACGATGCAAAACAAGAACTTGAGGAAGTAGTAGAGTACGTCAAGAACCCAGAAAAGTTCACTCGCCTAGCGGGGAAGCTGCCCAAGGTTTGTGCGCATCTTCAAACTATTTATCTTCCTTGTTGTATTGCTGTTACTAAATATATTCCCTGAATGAATGGATATGTACATCTTATTCAATGTGAAGATCCTCTTGTGAATCTTTTATTGCTTAGAAAAAACTATAGATGGAACTTATCTTTACCTCTTTCTTTTCTTTCTTCTTTCCTTCCTGTTGGGAGGGGTGCTTTGTGTTTTATGTAAATGTGGATGTTTATCTTGTGGTATGGTTGAAGTTGATGTTAAGGCATCAGGTCCAAATTCATTAAACTTGAGGTGGTATTATATACTTCTCATTCTTAAACAAAATCACGACGTTTGTTTTCTTTGTTTTGGCAGTGTAATAATTTTCATATGATATTAGGGCCGGAAGGCTTCATAGATCACCTAATTTCTAATTTAAAAACAAAGAATAATGGTTCAAGACAACAGTCTCTTTTTGGATCATTCCTTCTTTGTGTTTTTGTACCTTCACATCTGCTAATTATGGTCGGTTGTTGTTTTAGTCTTATAAATAGTCATTTGCAGGGAATTCTTTTGACAGGAGCACCTGGGACAGGAAAGACTTTGCTTGCTAAGGTATACTCCACTTTATTACTAGATTTGGGAGTTTACCATGGCAGAAACACTATCTTATGTCAGGATGTCATACCTTTATGCATGTCCAATACCTTAGACTCTAAATTTTACTTTTTTTTTCTTTTTTTTTTCAACTGCATTCTGTTATATCTTGAATGTAAAATTTAAGGCATGAACATGAACCATGTTAGTTTTGAGTAGACTTCTAACATAATGTTCAATCACCAATAAATGGCTCAAAGTAGATGCAAATGAAGACACAGAAAGACTAAAAAATAGAAATCACATCATTGACTTGTAAGCTTTCAGTAATTTGTCCTCAGCCTTTTCAAATCATTCCTGACCTATCTTGTGCTTGATCCTAGTGATACAAACATCAAGTATTGAGGCACTTCCGGACATGAAAATTTTGTCTAATGGATCCCAAGAGAAATATTTGCTTCTCAGACTTCAGATGTGCTTAGATCAGGGTAGAAATGGAAATATAGTGTGGAGTTGATAGTACCAATTCCACAGTATTCTGGATTTGATTGTTTTGGTTCAGTTCCATGTCAGAGTGGAATTTGGAAGCCACCAAGTTCTAGGCTTTCATTTCTGTGATATTGGCAGCGTTAAAATTCCTACAAGGAGATGTTATTTCAATTATGTGGAATTAGGTCAGTGGAATTCTATTCCATTTCCACTCCTGTGATGCAGACACAACCTTGTAATTCATTGCAAAACAAGTTTTTCTTAGTATCCTTTAGTTGTGGAGATTCTTTAAGGGCTGAGTTACTGGCAGTGTGGCATTGTCTAAGAATGACTGGCTAAAAAATGGCAGTACTGGTTCTTGGCAATACCGATACAAGATGAGAGAAACTCTACATTTGGGAAAGGAATTGGGCGACATTTATTTGGACACAAAGATCAGCTAATAGACTAGTTAATGAGTTAGCTAGGTAGGGGGTGTAAGGGCATGGACATGCCCCACACTATAAGTTGACAGAAGAACCCCACAGGTGCCTGGACCTCTGAAACATTGCAAAACACAAACTTAATAAGCATTTTATTAAGTAAAACAGAGCGCAAAGTGGGGACACGTGGCAGAATGACATGTGAGGACTCAGAAAAGCACCTTGTTTGGTACCGAGTTTACTCATATCCCTCTAATAGCTGTTTGTACTAAGCTGACATAACTAATTAAAGTGCTTTTCTGACAAAAGAATATTCTGAAATCACATCAAGCATGAGTTACATGACGGACTCCTATAAAAGGGTGGCAGCACACCTGGCCAAGGACATAATAACACAAAATAACATATCTGATTCGTCCACCAGACTTCAATGATCCACACCCTCTCAACTTTCTTGAGAACCTTCCAGGCTTCAGCTCTCTGAAACACCTACTTCTGATTTCTGTACACCCCCTGTAAGGCAATGGGATGTCAATGGTGTATTGAACTCTGAAGGTTGGAGTTAGTGACACCGCTGCAAGGGGATCGAAAGGCTCTTGCTGGTGGAGATTGTGGATCTATGGGTCTCTGCAACAAAGGTGAGAGTGGAAAATACAATGGCAGTCTCCATGGAAGGAGTTGCAGGAGGATTTCAGAGTGGAGAAGTTAGGCTAGCCTAGCGTTATAAAAGTGGTGCTTGGGCATTATTTATACTTCATTTTTTAACAAGTTAATGAAGTTTCTGGTTACCAATAAAAAATTGTTATGTTAGGGAAACATAAAGGTACATGAGCAGCTTTGATGTCCAGATAAGAATACTGACACAGATACAGGAAATGAGGACATGATTCCCCATTTCCTAATCTAAGATCCCAAACACAAATATGGGTATAGGTATTGTATTTAATATGCTTGTATTGGGGGATCATTCTCCATAGGGATTGAATATAGTAATGCAAGTAATGGTTAGATTTTGGGGTTGGGTAGCTAGGACTAGCCTAATGCTATAATAGCAATCCTTGGCACATTTTTAATTTGTTTATACTTCATTCTTTTTATAAGTTAATAAAGTTTCTAGTTACCAATAAAAAGTCATTATGTTACAAAAAAATAAAGATACATGAGCAGTGATGCCCAGATAGGATAGTGACACAGGTACAGGTAACAGGGATATGATTCCTTTTATATTAAACAATTCCTTTTACATTACATATTCCCCACCTGCTCCCAAAATAGATGTGATCTATTAACCCTTGTTTTCAATTGCATCAGTCAACTCATTGTCTGATCTGTAAATCCAATTAAAATTGGTAACTATATTCTCTTTCCATCGCTCTTATCTCTCTCATAGTATTTTGGTACTACCATGAACCAGACCACCATTTCCAAGCCAGCCCACTACCACTTTTGAGTCTCCTTCCACTACCAATTTTCTATATTTGAAAGAGCTTGCCAATCTCAAATCTTGTAGCATCATAGTTAGTTCTGCCCTTGTGGAGTTTTCTTGACCTATAGTACCTGAATATAAGGCAATGATTGCCCCTTTGCAGTCCCTAAAGATCCCTACAGTGCTAGATGGACCTGGATTACCCCTACTTCGGCCATCAAAGTTTAGTTTTATCATATTCAAATCAAGTGGCCTCCACCTAGAAAGGACTATGGATCTGGCTGAAGAAGAGCCTGCCACCCAATGCGGTCCTCTTAAGATGTCTTTAGATGAGAATGGAACAAAGAGCCTCACCATTTTTATCCAATGAGCCAGTTTAATTGTGATGCACTTAATAGTTGCACTTATAGACTGTGCCTTGTCATTGAAGAGTTTGCCATTTCTCTCTTCCCATATAGTCTATAGTACTTCTGTCCTTGTTCATATTCCCTCCTTTCCTTGGTGGAATAAGATCGGAAGAATTAAAAATGCCTACCAATTCAGTTGGGGGACTCCACCTGCATCCAAAAAGAGCACAAAACCATTCCTAAATTCTGCTGACAAACATAGTTCTCAAGGTGACGCATAGGTGGCAAGGCGCCCTTGGAGGCTCGCCTCGCCTAATCACCAAGCAGTTCTCTATAGCGTGTTATAAAAAAACTTTTATATTCTTAATTTTTTTAGGTTATAATTATAAAATAGACATTTTTAAACTAAAATATTCATTTTGTGTGTTTATATACTAATTTCTTGTTATTATTTTCTTATTTGTTAGGGTTTAGTCAACACAAACATTGCTAAATGCTGTATTGAACCCTCAAAGACTTCAAAACCTGAACCAATAATTAAGGAAGAACAAAAAATGTGTCCAATCAACACATTTTCTTCTTTTTCTTTACTAATTTTGTGTGTTTATATACTAATTTCTTCTTCTTCCACCTTTTCTTTTCTTCTTTTCCTATAACAGAAATAGGGGTTCAGCCCCTATATTTTTTGAATTTTCTCTTCTTTCTTCTTTTTCTTCTCATGATTATGTTGGAATATGTTGATTTTCTATACTTTAAAATGAAGTTTATACTTTTCTTATGAAAATTATGGATATTTATAAGGAAATATAATTATGGAACCTAGGGAACTACCCTAGGATACATGTTTTTACTTAAAAAAAATCCATCGCCTAGGCGACAAGGTGCCCCCCTGTCACCTAGCCTTGCCTTGGCGCCTTGAAAACTATGCTGACAAAAAGGGAAAAAGATTAAGAAGTGGTGAGTAGCTTCTTTGCTTGCTTTAGAAAGGAGACAAATGTGTGGAAATAAAGACCAATCTGATCTTTTCCTCTGAAGAGTTTCACAAGTGTTAATTTTTTAGATGAAAAGCTTATTGGGATTTAGAGGATTGATACCAAACTCATGGCAACTGGCATTTCAAAATCCCTTAACCCTCTTGTGAATCCAAAGTTCCAGATGACCTTGGATTTTAAATGGAATCAAAAGTGCTAATTTTTTTAGTCTTAGATTGCTCAGCCCCAGTTCCTCCAATTTCTTTCCTTTTACAAACCATAACCTAGTTCATTAGGTAATCTCTTTTGTCCTTGTTTTGCACAAAAAAATCTCTCAGTATTTTCTCTAACCTATTAGCAATCATAGTTGGGATCTGAAAAATGGACATGTATAAGATAGAGATGATCATTTTCAGCTCGGCCTGGGCCCGGGCTTGCATCAAGCTCAGAAATTTCAGGACTGGGCCTCGGCCCAATACCCTCTGGACCAGCCCGCACATATTACATATATATTATTTATACATATTTATATATGTTATTTCATTTTATATTTTAAAATTTATATATAAATATTATAATATGACACCTATAATACATATTATATATAATATTTACCTTCAGGTTTGAAATTTTCTCAGAACACTTTATTAAAAGTTGTATATTCCTGATCCCCATTTCCCTCATGTTCTCACCAAACAATATAATGTTTGTGAATTGCAAACTATCTCTTTTTCCAACCCTGCAATGTTTGGTTAAACCAAAAGTTGTATGCATTTAAAATTAGGTGAATTAAAGGCATTTGCTCTAAGGGTAAAAAGGGAGAGAGGGGATCTCCTTGCCTCGAACCCCTCTTAGCTGGAAAGAAATCCTTGACAGCTTTATTTATTTATTTTTTTGAAATACTTGACACCTCTATTTATTAGCACAAAACAGTACCGATTGGAGATATCCTTTGAGCCACTTCCTCCATCTAACCCTAAAACTACATCTTTCTAATACCTGCCCTAGAAATGATTAATCAACATTAGTCATAAACCTTCTCCAAGTCTAATTTGCATTCCCAACCCTTCTTTCTTGTCCTTGTGACCTTGTCTTTTTGAAGACACTCATTAGTAATTGGGCTCTAATAGATTATCTTTCTATCTTAAAAAAGGTCTATTGGAACTAGGCAATTATTGAGGGAAGTACCTCCTTCAACCCTAGAGAAAGCACTCAAACAGTGATTTTATAGAGGCTTCCCACCAAACTGATTGGTCTGAAATATTTGGGATGGTTTGCATGCTATGTTTTAGCGTTTTAGTCACCAATGCTATGAAAGTTGCATTTGTACTTATGTTAATGAATCCCCTTCTCATAAAATTCTCTGAATACTTCAAACAAGTCCAACATCAATACCTCTCAACACTTACAGAAGGCCATATTGAAAGTATTTGGGCCTAGTGCCTTGGACCCTTTTATGGAGAAAGTTACCTTTTTAATTTCTTCTAGCTCGTAAGATTTCTCCAATTTCTCCACTAAAGCCTTATCCAAGGTTGGCCATCCCAAACTTTCCACCTTTAATCTTTGGAGGGAAAAGACAAAATATTGATTTGAAGTGGTCCATTAAGAATTTTGATATCTCCTCTTCTATGATGATTCCCCAATCATGGCCAATCTTGCAATAAAATTCTTCTTCTCTCTCCCATTCACCAAAGAGTTAAAGTATTGGGAATCCCCATCCCCTTAACCCATTTGCATCTCTAAATTGGATATCATGAAATTAATTGCATTTCCTTTGGTTGACTTAAAATCACTGTTTATCAACCTTCATGTGCATATGGATAGAATTCAGTCAACTGCTTGATTGTAAAGGTTTATCACTTTATTTTTGGTTCATAACTATAACTCTCTCTCTCTCTCTCTCTCTCTCTAGATATATATATATATATATATATATATATTCCTGAATATGACTGTTGCATTTGGATTCTTGAAGGCTATTGCTGGAGAGGCTGGTGTACCATTTTTTTATAGAGCAGGGTCAGAGTTTGAGGAAATGTAAGTACCGATAGTTGTCAATCAATCTTGAAATTCTGTAGAAGTTTCAAACATTTATTGAAAAAAGGAACTTTTTTGTTTCAAGAAATAAGTACTGATAGTTGTCAATCAATCTTGAAATTCCGTAGAAGTTTCAAACATTTATTGAAAAATGGAACTTTTTTGTTTCCAGAAATAAGATAGAAATGTACATATTTAATATTTTGCCTACCTTTATCTAGTTTGTGGTAAACACCAAAGATAACAATTATACATATATATACATACAATTAATATATATATATATATATGTAATTGGAAATGTATCTTTCAATCATTAAATTTTAAAATCATAACATTACATATCAGACATTCCATAGCTGAAATGCTGATACCAAAAACAGATCCACTGTTACAATACAGCCCAGAAAAGTTCTCTCCTGTTTGATCCTTGTTGGCTAAAGCATCAGCCAGGCCATTTTCTGTTCTTCTAACCCATTTGAAGTTTGCTTAAATTTCCTTTGTAAGACACCAAACTTCTCTCATAGCTTGTCTGTGATTCCACATTCCCAAGTTTCCAGCTTTCATCCAGTCTATTACTAACCTTGAATCCCTTTCCACTTCAATCTGGTGTAGTCCCATCTGTTTAGCCAACCTCAGTCTTTGCAGCAAAGTTAGCTCTTAACGAATCACCCAATCCTATAGGCCCCAGAAAAAGAGCCAAAATTTTTCCTTCCCCATCTCTAAAGACTCCTACACCCAAAGGCCCTGGTTTACCAAAAGAGCTGCCATCGAAATTCAACTAATTTCTTTGTTATGTAGACACTGCCCAACTCTCTTGAAATGCTGGACTGGATCTTGAAGAGTTTGCTACTGAATTCCAGCCCCTAATCATATCATCCACCGAGAACTCCTTAAACAACTCAACTGGTTTTACCTGAACTACCTTAATAGTGATGCAATCAATCAAAGCCTCCCTTGATTTTCTTTTTCCTTGAAAGATCCTATTATTTCTTTCCTCCCATACTGCCCATAAGACCGCAACTCTTGTGTCTCTCCACAACATCTTTTCCCCTTTTTCGGTTGCCTAAAGAAGCTTGCTTCAAAAGGCCTGCCACATTGGGGGGAGGAATCCACTTGCAACCAAGGAGAGAAGAAAACCAATCCCAAATAAAAGAGGCAAAGGTGTAGGAGATTAACAGGTGCTCAGTAGTCTCACCACAAGCAAAGCAAAGGGAGTAGATATGAGGGGAAAGGCTTTTTCTAATTGGGTCAAGCAGGGAGTTTCTCTATATGAACCCACCTACTTCTGTCATGTGGAGGGATCATTGTGGCCAGTACAGACCACCTAGCAAATAGGGGACCTACTGAATTAGACACATATTGAATCCCATAATCCATGTTAGGTATATACCTGTTTTGTATTGGTGTTTTTTACAACTAATATTATTCATTCTGAGTTGTTTATTTTTGTTAGTTTAGTTGTTCAAAATTTTAATTCATTCTGAGGGATTATCCTGAAACATGTCAAGTTTATTTGGGTCAAATATTTTATATGAATGAAGGGTGGTGAGGAGTTCATAGACTCCTTTTGAGCTCCATAGTCAAAATTAATTTTCCTCCTTTCTTGTAGAAGATTCCCGGGTCATTTAGGCTGTGTTTGGTTGATAGAAAATAAGAGAGAGATAAAAAGTTGATGGAAAGATGTTAAGTAATCTTGTGAAGTTTCTTAAGAACTCTCTCTCAACTTTCTATTTCTCTCATATTTCTTTCAAACCAAACATAGCCTTAGTAAAGCTCACTAGATGACCTGACTAGAAAACCTGTGCCCATGTGCTGAGCAAAAGGGTATGAGTGTTGGTTCTGCTGATGTTTAGGCAAATATATAGAACTTCTATGCTAATATATTTAAAAATATATAAAGCATGTTGTTTTAGACCATATACAAACAACAAAGAAACAAAGACTGACAGCCTAGCATTTCTTGAAGTTCATTTATATCTATGGAACTTGGGATCTGTGAGGATATCATATTAGTTTTTATTTTTTATTTTTATTTTTCTTGGGGTGATGTTGCTCTATTGCACATTTTCTTTCACCAGACTAGGGGTTGAAAAATCAGGAGACGTAACATAGAATAAAATTTGATAAAGAGAAAGGGGGAAAATTATAATTGGGCCTGGAGAGACTGGTGGGAGGTGTGAAAATCTCTTGGTTTATTTTTTTAGGAGGGGAGAAAGTGTTCAGGAAGGCAATTGAACAGTTGGAAAGGAGCAGGAGAGAAGAAAATAACAAGAAAAATGTTTTTTGGGGCGAGGGGGGGGGGAAGAGGATTTGGTAGATGAAGAATGAAGGTGCTGTTAGATGTAAGAGAGTGGATGGGTGGCTGAGTTTGAATTTGGAAATGTGAACTGGAATGAATAAGGGCCTGAGATTGGGAAGAAGAAAGGATTTAAAATGGAGTGTGGCGAGGAATCCAGTCCAGATAGATGCATCTGTAAGAGATAGATCAGAAGAAATTGATCTCGTTTATGTTGCCGGATGCTGTATAAATTGGGAAGGAAGTCCTGGGGGTTGATCTTTGGAAGATGGGGGTTTTCAAAGATGTAATCTGTTCATCTGGTGCTAATTAGCCTTTGCTCATGTTATTGTTGTTGCTTTTCTTCTTCTGAGTGTTGCCTCTTCACCCTCTCAGAGTGTGCTTTTTCTCTCTTTTTTTTTTTAATGAAATTTTATTTTTACCTATAAAAAAAGGCCTGGGTGGAATATGAACATTGAGATGGATGACTCAAAACTAGGGGATAGAAACTTGGGAAGATGTCATCCAAGAGAGTCTATGATTATCCCCGTTACTTGATAACATAAAGGGCTTTGGTAATGTACAATGAAGACCATTTATGATGCCAGTTAGAGATGCCTTGGGGCATCTTGAAGGCTCCAAAATAATGAGGAGAATGCTAAAAAGGAGATGGGTTGTGGAAGAAGAATTGACATATGCTTTAATAAGATAAGATTCCAGATGATAAAGGGGATGTCAAGAGGGTTGCTTAATTCGGTAATCTTACCTGCCTTTCTCCATCCCACCCCTATGGCGATGGGTTTGGAATACCCCTGATTGGGTTCAGGTTCAGGTTGTGGGATGTCAAGCTGTGGCAGGTTTTTATCGGGTTTGGGCCATGGTATATACCATGCCTATGTTCCCAGGTGAGATATATTTCAAATATTTTTATCTTTTACCCCACTATTTTTTGCGTATTCTTTTTGTTTTATAACCACACCCCCCAGCCCATTACATGCGTCTGTACCATCCAGTCACTATTCATGAGGTGGGTCAGTTCAGGTTGAGGTGTTGTCAGGTCAATTCAGTTTCAAGTTAAGCCCGACGAATACTGAATCTGAGCTATCAGCATTCCTATATGGTGGCACAGTGGAATGGTTTAATGCATGAGCCATAAGCAATGCAAGCAACAAGTTATGTCAGCCCATGTTATGGGTGTAAATGTCCAAGTGATCACAGGTCTCAGCAGATCAAACCTAGAAATTGCAATAAGTATGCCTGCCCATATAATAAAATTTACATTAGAACTTTAATGCAGGAAAGGAAAGTAGATAGAAAAAGTTGGCACCGTATTAGATGTGTTATGTCCTTGGACACTTCACCTATTTAACAAGCACTTTATGTGTTTTACTGATATTGTCTGGGAAGCACCACCGGCATGTCAAAGTGGTATTTTCCAAGTGCAAAGTGAGGTACAATGTTGAAGTGTTGGCACTTCTAATTCTCTTAGTTTTGAGTTGGCATAGTAACACTCAAGAGGACCTATTAAAGCAAATAATGAAGGATGAATTGCATCTTCCATATTGGATCAGGTTTGCAAGTTGAATTCTAGACTGAAAGGTGCAAACCTAAACAGAAAAGGAAATGACAATTGACAGAACTATGTGAATACTAATACACTTGAACCATCAACAAATTAAATAAAAATTCTGACCAATTCTATAATTACATGGATATCCACCTTCATGAAACCAAACCCCATAGGTACTAGACATATATTTTGCATAATAGTTTGCAACAAGGACGTGGATATGTTGTTCTGTATTGGTAAAAAATGGATATGTTTTTTACATAGAAATGTTCTCACAAGTTAGTTTAGGTTCTCTGATGGTATGTTAATATCTATTTTCTAAATTAAACTGCTTCATACAGACATATCTTAGCAGTTTGTGGTCCTGGAACTTTTTTTGGGTTACATGTAGAGAAACATGGATTTGGATTTCATATTGAGGTCAATTGTCCCATCTAACATCATCAATCCTTTTGTATCTTTCTGCATGTTTTCTTATTTAATGATCTGGATAGTTAGGTTTTGTCTGGTCTGTGTTGTGCTTCGGAACAGCAAGGTAGATTTAAGAAGCACTTGGATTGTGCATTTTTAGGTCTTATTGAGATTATCCTTAAAATAGAATTTTATATACTGCTTCTGTATGCCAGGTTCGTGGGTGTTGGTGCTCGACGTGTACGGTCCTTATTCCAAGCTGCTAAGAAGAAGGTGGTGGTTGCTTTCTGATTTCTGAACTCATTTTTGACATGGCTTTAGCTAATAATAATGTTTGAATATTCTACTTGAAACACAGCTGCAGCAGTCTTAGGTTAGTTCAAGTTCTATTCAAGAGAAGAAAAGAAGAAGAAAGAAGAAGAGAAGAAGAAGAAAAGGAGAAGAGAAGAAGGAATGAGAGAAAGAGAGAGCAGAATGAATAGGTTCTGCCACCCCCTTCATTGACTTTTATATTACTTGAGAAAAAAAGGTACAATGACAAAAATACCCCTATCAACTGTGGCAGAGATAAAAAATAAGTACAGAAGTCTGAAACAAGACAGCTAGGTATCCTTGTCAACATATCTACACTCCCCCTCAAGTTGGGAATAGATGTTGAGCATTCCCAACTTGCGTAAATCTATTTCCATCTTGACTTTAGGGACTGCCTTGGTGAAGATATCAGCAAGCTGCATATCAGAGGCAATATATGGCAAGCACACTTCTCTCTCCCTAATATAGTGTCGATCCACCTCAATGTATTTTGTCCTGTCATGCTATATTGGGTTATGGGCAATATTAATAGCAGTTTGATTATCACAATACAACATTAAAGGCTTCTCATGCTCAATTCCAAGTTCTTCAAGTAAGGATCTCATCCATAGAACTTCTGCCACTCCATGAGCCATAGATCTTTATTCTGCTTCAACACTTGAATGAGCTACTACATTTTGTTTCTTACTTCGCCATGAAACCAGATTTCCTCTAACAAAGGCACAATACCCAGAGGTAGACTTCCTGTCATCTACACATCTAGCCCAATCCACATCAGTGTACACCTCAATCTTCATATGACCATTATTCTTGAAGAGTATTCCATGACTTGGACACTTCTTGAGATATGCAAGGATCCGCTCAACTTCCAACAAATAAGTGGTTCTTGGGGAGTGCATGCACTAACTAACAACACTAACGGCATAAGAAATGTTAGGCCGAGTCAGACAAAGATACAGAAGTTTCGCAACTAGCCGTTGATACATGGTCTTGTCATCAAGGGGTTCAACTTCTTCTGCACTTATCTTATGATGCAATTCAATGGGAGCATCTACAGGTTTAACTCCCAATTTTCCTGTCTCCTCCAAAAGGTCGAGGACATATTTCCTCTGAGAAATGAAAATACCATGTTTAGATCTAAACACCTCAATTCCTAGAGAATATCGGAGATGGCCCAAATCTTTCACCTCAAACTCTTGTGAAGTAATTGCTTAAGGGAATTAATCTCATCAACATCACTACCTGTTACCACAATATCATTTACATATACAACAAGGAGTGTGTTAGAGAGGAACCACCCCTCTTGATGAAAGTGTGTGGTCTGAGTGAGCCTACATATACCCAAATTTCTCCAGAGCAAATCTAAACCTGTCAAACCAAGCCCTTAGAGATTGCTTTAAACCATACAATGCCTTCTTGAGTCTACAAACTTTCTTGCCTGCCTCTGCATCATAGAAACCAAGGGGCAACTCTATATACACTTCCTCCTGTAATTCACCATTGAGGAAAGCATTCTTGACATCCATTTGGAACAAGGGCCATGAAAAGTTTGCAGCCAGAGATAATAGAACACGGATAGTATTCATTTTAGCAACTGGTGCAAAGGTCTTAGAGTAATCAATGCCATAGGTCTGTGTGTACCTCTTTGCAACAAGGCGGGCTTTATATCTTTCAACTGATCCATCTGCATTATGCTTCACAGTGAACACCCATTTGCACCCTGTAGTGAGAATGGGTCGAATGGGCCTTAATGTTCTTTATTTCATTTAAGTAGTATTTAAAAGTTTTGTTTCTTAGTTATGGGCCTTCTTTTATTTTCTTTAATTATTTCTTTAGTGCTGGCTGCCCCATTAAGGGCATCCAAGTAATTGTATTTAGACTTAGAATTATTAATAAAAGTGATGAAAGGGGGCTAGAGAGAGAAGTTTGAATTCATCTTTTCTCTCTTCCCTTCTTTTCTTCTTCCACGACCTATTGCTGAAACTTCTTTTTCTTCTTTCTCTTTCTCTCTCTTCTTTTCTTGCATTATCTGAATTACTGTAGGTGTAATTTTCAACTTGGTATCATAGCGGGTTCTCACTTTTGACTTTTTTCTCCTTTCTTTGCCCATACATAGTGTGTATGGAGAACTAATCAGTTGATTAATCAGCTACTTATGTTGCCCAGTTATGAAGGTTTTTGAGAGTTTTGTGGATGTTTTTCATCCTTGGTTGATGCCCAAGGCATGTTCTTGGAGATTTTTCTCAAAAACCCTAAACAATTGGAGAAACCTTGTTACAGGTCGCAGAGATAGTTTGAACCAGGCGCTTGGGGATCAGAGGTAAGCCTTTTGATTTCTATTAGCGGCGGTTTTGGATGGATTGAATTCTAGAACTTCTGGAAGGGGTGGTTGAAGTTTCTCTCTTTCTCCCCAACCAATAGGACCCTATGAAACCCTAATTTTGGGGGGTTGAAAGGTTGTTATTTGCTTAGATCAGTAAATCTAGCCTAGTAAATCCCTAATTTGGTTTTCATTTGCATCAATTTACTCAACGGAGCAAACTGGAGGAGAGACGAAATATTCCACAGATTTTGGGTCTAGACATGGGGGGTCAGTGGAGAATCTTTTTGGGGCAGTGACTACTATGAAACTAGATGGGACCAATTATTTAGCTTGGTCTCAGTCTATTAAGATACATGTGTATAGTATAGGAAAATGAGGTTATATTACTGGGAGCAAGAAGAAACTGGAGGAGGATGATCTTACCTATGAAATGTGGACGCAAGAAAACTACATAGTAGTGGGTTGGTTAGTGAATTCTATCCAACCACACACTAGTCAACATTACATGTGGGTGGAAACTGCAAAAGAAGTGTGGGATAGTGTCACAAATACCTATTCCCAAAAGCTTAATGTTGCTCGGGCCTACAAATTGAAGCATGATATGAATAATCTTAGACAGGGGGAGAAACCCTTAGTAGTCTACTTCTCTATGCTGAAATCTCTTTGGCAAGAGATTGATCTGATGGAGCCTGTTGTTTGGGGTTGCACAAAGGATGCAGAAACATATAGGAGGTTGGTGGAGAGGAATCGGGTTTTTGAGTTCCTCACCGGACTCAAATCGGAGTATGATATTGTGAGGCATAATGTTTTAGCAAAGGATGAGGTGACTTTGTCTCAAGCATATTCTATGGTGAGTAGTGAGGAGAGCAGAAGACAGGTTCAGTCTGTTGAGCCACAGGTTGATCACTATGCTAATGCTAGGATGAAGCCAAAGGTTAGCACTAGGAAGAAAGATGTTATCTGTGAATATTGCAAGAAGCCTAAACACACTAAAGACACATGTTGGAAAATGCATCTAGAGCTCGTTCCTGCCATATTCAAGAAAGAAAATGGTGGAAAAAGGGTTAAAACTGGAAAAGGTGGAAATGCAAATGTAGCCACCTCTTCACAAGGTGAACAAGGACAGGGTGGAGAGTTGTCAGTGGGATAACAGCTTGCAGCCGCCAGGGCTGAATATGAGAAGTATGGCCGAATCATTAGTCACTTGGAGACCACTGTTGTAGCTCCTTCAAAGACTGTTCCTTCATCTGCATATGCTCACTCAGGTATTTGTGACACTACACATCATGCTTCTGTCTCAGGTACTCATAAAACCCCTTGGGTAATTGATTCTGGTGCTTCTAACCATATGACTAGTGTTTCACAGTTATTCACCTCTTACTGACTTCTTTCTGGTTGGGGCAAGATATCCCTTGTTGATGGCTCCCTAGCCCCTCTCATGGGAAAGGGAGAAATTAAGACCTCTAATGCCCTGACCTTATCATTTGTTCTTCATGTACCTAAACTTAATACCAATTTGCTTTCAGTTAGTAATTTGACTAAATCCTTGAATTGCAGTGTGACATTTTTTCCTTCATATTGTGTTTTTCAGGACGTGGAATCTCAGAAGGTGATTGGGAGTGTCCTCCAAACTCCCAAATATCTTCTATTCCAATTTGGGGTTGACTCCACACTGAAACCTTTGAATTGTGGTTTAGAGTGGGACTACTGATCTTTGTGGACGGTTCCAAATGCTAAGGTCTAATAGACTGCTATAACCTTTGTAAAATTGATAACCTGAATCTGATCAAAGTCTGAGTTCTGTAAAGGGAGGTATTCTACTTACTGTTGTGATATGTATGTTCATCTCCTTTTTGAGAAATTCACTTTCCCTTTTTCTCATTGATCATATGCCACCAAATGGCATAAAATGATGATTCATATGAAAGCAGTGATTGTCTTGGTTCATTTTTATGTGCAACCAACTTAATATCTTAATTTTTTTTTCTTCCAAAACAAGGTAATTGCTTTGGTATCTTTATCTCTTTGACTATTATTGATATATTATTGAGAAAAACCTCTTTCATTTTTCTCAAACTCTTCTTTACTTTCTGAGTTCAATGTCCCAATCATCCATTTATTCATTTTGTTATTTTATCTTCCATTCATCCAGTTGATTGTATATCTTTTGGTATTTTCTACTGATTGCATCTTTTTATAATTCAAACTGTTCACAGGCACCCTGCATCATTTTCATTGATGAAATAAATGCTATTGGTTCCACCAGAAAGCAATGGGAAGGCCATACAAAGAAAACATTGCATCAGCTGCTAGTTGAGATGGATGGTTTTGAACATAATGAAGTATATTTTGAAAGCTATCTTTGTTGTTTTAATATTTTAATTTTGTATTTTCTGAATAGATTTCTTTTGGTAGGGCATAATATTAATGGCTGCAACAAACTTGCCAGATATTCTTGATCCAGCTTTAACAAGGCCTGGTAGATTTGACAGACATGTAAGTTCTTTAAGCACCTCTTGACAAATATTATAATATTTTCAGAATTCACTATTTGATTTTTTGTTTAAATGAACTGTTCACCATACATGCTCAAATAGCTGAAGAATTCTGTTAGCTTGGATTAGAGATAAAACAGCCACTTAAGAGTTTCATTGGAACTAGGGATGAGCATTGGGTGGGTGTGGACTAAGCTGGCAGCATGCATTAGATATATTTTTCACAGGTATTTTTTATATACTATATGCTTATATGTTTATATAACTAAAGTATAATTATAAGGACTGTGCAATGCATCTGTTAATAAAGGGAAACATGAAAGAATTTAATTCTCCATTGGTTCTCCCTTTATTTCAGCAATACAATTACTTTGCTTGCCTTTCAAAAAATAATAATTTTATGTTCTGCTTCAAAGACTTTTAGTCAAAATGAAAAGCAATCAAATATTTCTGATACTTGATATTAAGATCTTGTTAGATTTGTTTAGTTAATAAATATTATTCTTTAAGTGTATAATTGTTAATCAAAGAGAGAGATGGATTTATTAGATTTAGAAAGAAGGGAAAATTAAAATGTGAAGGGTTTGTTCAAGATTACGTGCATTGTGTTTGCAGTTTTTTCTATCTAATTCTTATTTGGTGGGGCCTAATACTACATAATGTCAAAACTTGCCTCTAGCAAGCAGCCTCATGATGGTGCCATCTCTTCTTTATGTTATAAATAGCATCATAAGTATTGTAGAGAAGATGGGCCGAATGGCCCATAGGTTGTTTATTCTTTCTTGTTATTTATGTTTCTTTTCTGTAATGGGCCTTATTCTGGGTCCATCCTGTCTATATTAAGTTCTTTGTAAATTCTTGCCCACCTAAGGGCCTCCTTGTAATTATTCAAATATATCTTAATAAAAGAATGTTAAGGTGCTGAGAGAGTGTAGGTTCGAAACTCTCATTCTCAGACCCTCATTGCTGAACTCTCAAGCTCTCCTCTCTTCAGTTATCTTCAAGTATAATAAATGTAAATGTAGAGAAGATAGGCCGAATGGCCCATAGACTCTTTTCTTATTTCTTTTCTTTATGTTCTTTGCTGTAATGGGCCTCAACATGGGCCTTACTTATGTTATGTCTATTTTAAATTATTTTCCCAGTTAAGGGCCTCTCTGTAATTTCTGAAATTAAGTTAATGAAAAGGGATTAGGGTGTAAGAGAGGATTAGATTTTGAAAATCTCTCTCTGAACCCTTATTGCCGCCACCTTCTTCTTC